CTGAAACCAAGGATATTTAAAGCAATATAAATTTGACCTCAAGGAAAATCAGACCAAGTTCCTGACAGAGTTGCTATCAAGATAACTTGATTAAGTTAAAGAACTGTGGGAGATGGGGAAAAAAAAACCAAAACCAAACAACAACTAGAAAAGCCTTACATATTGCAGGTTACTTAGAATTAGTCCTTTGACTTCTGGTTGGTTTGAAATGCAGGTAGTTTTTCAGCTGAATGCTGTGTGTAACATACTTTCTACTGGCCTAAAACGACTGCCACGTTATCCTGCCAACCAAGCTCCTTTAGGATAGCATCTGGTTGTAAGTTGTAGTTAATAAGAAATACTCATGGAAAAGTATGAGGAAGACGACAATGATCCTTTGTGTGATGTGCTACAAGCTAAAAGTAATCCACTGTTTTCAATACGGGGTTTACTTCATTGTAGTAAACTAATGACAAAGTGATTGGATTTGCACTTAGCGTAAAGCCTTCATTCCAAATCAACCACAGCCCTTACTCATCTAAGATCCAAACTGTCCAAAAGCTGTATGAACTAGTACTCTCCAGTCAAATTAGTACTTCACAGTATTTTTTTTTCCAAGTACACCACCACTTGGAAATGTTCGGTCAGCAGATACAAGTGTATAAATTTTTTCATTCTCAATAGAATTGTTCATCGTTGGGAGACAAGACACAAAATCAAGTTGATCAGAGACTTGTGAACAACCGTGTAAGTAGAGTTAATTGATTTTTATCTGGTTATGGTACAGTACATCTCCAATTAGAATACACATCAGACTTTTCATATCCTCCACAAGAGCCTCAAACTTAATTCTCTCAAAAGACACGTATAGATTTGATAAAGAGCTAGCAAGGATGATCTGCAGCAGATAAATGTATGCCAGGCCACCAGCTACAAGACTTTGATCAGAGGTAAAATTCCGAAGCCGTCTCCCCCACTGACTGTTCTGTCAGAGCAGCAGTAGATAATTTACAGCAGTCAGGGAGGAAAAGGTGCATAAACTGAACCAGTACAGCAGAGCAGTGACATTCTCTGCAGCACCACTGTGGCCTACAGGATGGAGGTTTCCTTAGCTGCATGACAATTCTGGTAGATCATTCATGGTCTCCTCTCACTTCCATAATCTGGAAAAAACACAAAAGTCACAAGTCCATCAGTACTTTGAAAATTTTAAGAAATCCTCTGTTGTGATTTAACCGTGGTAGCCAGCTCAGTCCCACACAGCTGCTTGCTCACCCCCCAGCCCCGGTGGGATGGAGAGGGAATCAGAGGGTAAAAGTGAGAACACTTGTGGGTTGAGATGAAGACAGTTTAATAGGTAAAGCAAAAGGCGCACACACAAGCAAAGCAAGACAAGGAATTCATTCACTGCTTCCCATCGGCAGGCAGGTGTTCAGCCATCTCCAGGGAAGCAGGGCTCCATCACGTGGAACGGTTACTTGGGAAAACACCTTCACTCTGAACATACCGCCCTTCCTGCTTCCCCCAGCTTTATATGCTGAGCATGATGTCATATGGTGTGGGATATCCCTTTGGCCAGTTGAGGACAGCTGTCCTGGCTGCGTCCCCTCCCAATTTCTTGTGCACCCCCAGCCTCCTCGCTGGTGGGACAGCATGAGAAGCAGAGAAGGCCTTGATGCTGCGTAAGCACTGCTCAATAACAACTAAAGCACCCCTGTGTTATCAACAGTATTTTGATCACAAATCCAAAACATAGCCCCATAGCAGCTACTCTGACGAAAATTAACTCTATCCCAGCCAAAACCAGTACACCTCCTGTTTCAGGGTTGTTCCAGTATTTCACTGAACTCAAAGAAGGAAACACGGAAATTCACTCCAAATCAAAACCTAGTGTTAGTTCCATATCCTTATGGTTTATCTTCAGCAGGCTGCACAAGATAACTAAACTCGAAAGAATTTACGTGATATCTGATTTGCATAGCAGAAGACAGCAATAGGAAGTTAGCAGAACCATGATGCCCCTTTGTATGTATTAATTAGACCTGATTATCATCTCTATATAATGAATGCACGCTACTTGGTGCAACAACTCAAGCAACTTCATTTAGCAACTACAGAGGCAAAAAGCATTTGCAGACAGCATTTACATGAAGTCTCTACTGGTCTTACGTCAAATGTTTTCAAGTTGTGAAACTCACCTGTTAAATGCATCACCCAGAAGCCAAATATGGATCTAGGTCCTCAGTCTGGACATACTGAGGTAGACTAAAACTGTGTCAGTTGGTAAACAATGCACTGAAATACTCTGAAGTACTTTGAGACACTTTCAAAACAAGTATTAATCTAGAAACATAAAGAATGAGGATTGAGGTATCAATATCCTAATGGTTATTATTATGGAAATTGTATTTCTAGGTATTTTGAAGCTTAGAATAGCAATTTTTGACCAGTGGATTTTGGCCACACCAGCTATTGGTGTGGAAAGCAGGTGCTTCACTTCATCTTTTGCAGTATTTTTTTTTTTTAAATGTAGCCTTAACATTGAAAGTTCAGTACTAACCTACTGAGTCACATCTAGTCTGAAAACTTTTTTATGATAGTACCTGTTCAATTGTACTTATATTCCTTTTTGTAACAGAGGTTAGCTAGAGCTGTGTTCACAGCTCTAACTAGAAACACAGTGAAAGCCAATAGTTCTAGCTAAGGAGATCCTACATGAGAATGCTATAGGATGAAATAGATAATATGTTCAGTTACTGTATGGAAGAGAATTGTCTGAGTTGTGTATTTTTTTTAAATAACAAATATCAGGGGAAAAACCAGACATTTTAAAGTAGCTGGTACTGTAGAGGTTATTCCAATTCAGGCTGATAAAATTTACAAAAGTATGAAGTCTTTTAAAGCCATCCATTATATGATTTAGTCAAGTTTACTATCAAGGAACTGTGTAATGATTAGATTTCATGTTTCATCATATCTTTACTGTCCTTGCTCTGTCAGTGTGTACTCCTTTAGTTAGGAATTTAAAACATCCATCTTATACAGATGGACAACCAGGTCTGAAATTGAGATGCTTACCTTGGATATCTTATATATATGCAATCTAGAGATACATAAAAGCTTTGCTAGATCTGCCAGTAAGAAATAAGGTAGCCTCAAACAAATGGGTCCACCAAGTGGTTGTCCAGACTTGAACTGGAGCATTAGAAAGCAACATGCACTTCATGTATTCACAGTAATCGCATCTGAGGCTGCCAAAGGCCAAGCTTATTAGCAATGCTTAGTTTTAAGAACAAGTTACCAGTACTTCTAAGAAATCCATCATGCAAGTACATAATAAAACCAAGTAGGATAAGCTGCATGCTAAATGAAGAAACCTGCACTAAAGCAGTCTGAAGCACAAGGGATACCCTGCTACTATATGCAGACTAGGGCTCATTTATTTACTAGTCCGTATGCAGACAGCATGGGAGAAGAGCAACTGGGTCAGTGCTCTAGACATCTAAAAATCCAGAGTTGCAGGTGTGTCAGAAAAGCAATGGAGTCTGTCCACAGCTGCAAAGCTATTGCAAGCTGAAAATTATCCTAGCACTTAGGCCTATCCACTGCATTCTGATATTAATGCACAAGGAGAGTTAACAGTTTGAGCAAAAAGTACTAGTTAAACTCCTGCCACTTAGCCTTTACTGAGAGTGTTCTAGAAATAAGCCTCTTTATTGGCTAAAGTCAGAATTAGCATGTTTAAAAACACAAAATACAGGCTTAGCATTCAATAATTAAGGCTTGATGTTTTTGTCCATTGTGGTAAAAAAAACCCCTAGTTCCCTAAAGCTTTATTCCAAATTTCTCATCTCAGAACTTGACAAAGGAATTAAACCAAGACTTGAAGTATGATCACCCTCTAAAAGTCTATATGAAAAAGAAATCTAAGCTGAGAATAAACCCAAGATCTTTATGGCAGTAACTTTATGAAGTCATGCCAGACAACTTGCTTTGGCATCTGGATGGTAGCAGGGGAGAACTGTTTAAAGTTGGAAGTTGTGAAGCCAGTTACCAAGAAACAGCAGCTTTATACTGAAGTATATTCCATTTAGGTTTTTAGTTTCATTTAAATAAGCTCATCCTTAGATATACCAGTCAGGCATTTGCACTAGCTACCTTAGCACGCTCAGGTAAAGTACTTCCTACTGCTAAAACAAACTGTTGAAGCTTTTAAAAGTAGAAAGAGTCAGTGACCTACAGGCTTCTTACTAGTTCATACTTCCATTTTAAACACTGAAATGCTTTATAGTATTTGACATGCTGCAGCTTAGACAAGGATGTACATCATGGCTTTTCAGTTCTCAGGCCACAAGAGATCACTGAAGACTGGTCACACAGCCATTTAGCTGTAAGAAAGGAATTTCATAAATGCTTCCTAGCATTTGTATTCAGGGTTGATTTAAAATGAAAGCAGCAGGTTTCAACTACAAATACCAAGTTCCTCAGCAGTTCTCTGAAAGGAAGAGATAACTTGCATTACAATCCTATTCAAGTCTCACGGGGGAGCGAAGCCACCCATGTTCATGCTTCACAAGGGTCAGTTTTAACTTTAAAATACATTGCAGCTGAGTAACAAACAGTGAGCCAGCCCTTCAGTGGCTGTTTGGAGGTTTAAGAATTTCAACTGCCTCACTACTGAAGGACAGGTGATGTGACAAAGCTAGATTTTGGCAGGATATGCATTTAAGGTAGTTCTAATAAAGTATGTAGCATTTCACTTCTAATTTCTTGACCTTTCAGTTAAGAAGGAAGCAGGTATGTAACTAAATCTTGAAGTAATTTTGATCAAGGGAACATTCTTGAGAATGGCATCAAGCAAGAACTAAATAAACAAGTAATCCCATTTAAACTATACAGTTTACCCTGAATTATCAAAACCTGAAGACCAGTTCTATGTAACAGCATGCATGTACACCCCACATCAGGCACAAGCTCAGTTTGATATATTTTAAAAATAAAGACCACTGGCAAGATTAATACTAAAATGCATATTAACTTGTTTTATTGAGGCACAACAAGGCATTGTGAATAGCCCATACTTGAGGCAATCAATAGTGTAGTAAGCTGGACATTAATACAGTTTAGGGTAAGTGCAAACAATATACATTCACAGCTTTACTAGCAAGGCTACATCACAACTGATAAAGTGCCAAATTAGTGCTGATTCAGTACCCCAACTCCATGATTTCACCTTGCACAACAGGACCATCATTTCCCCCAATAATGGAACCACATATCTTCTATAAAGTCAGTAGTAAGTGCAAAGCTAGTCCCACCCCCCTCCACCAAGGTGTTTGGAGCAGCTCTTTTGTAAACATCGCACTGGATTTTAGTCCTGATAAAGGAGGTATCCCGAAAAGGTGGAGTATTTCCAGCTACTTCCATATATGGCTCCCCGATGCAGACGCAACCAGATCTGATCTCCCTGGAACAGCTGCAGGACTGCATGGTTACTAGCTGTTTCATGATCAGGAGCCCCATCATTTGCATATGCTGACACTAGGACCTCTTCATTCTTCATGAGATTCACATACAGGGGAACATTTACAGCCAGTTTCAGCATGTGGAAGATGAAGACATATGTACCATTCACCGGACAGTTGAACCTACCAAGCTGGATGTCAAAAGTTTCTCCAAGGTTGTTCAGCAACAAATCAAACACAATTGGCTGGTCTAGAGTTCCAGGGGCCAAATTAGATGTTCTAGCAGCAGAGAAGGCAACTCTCATCTGCTGCGGGAGGGGGTAGACATGCACTGGTAGTATGGTGGCAGCTTGGCTCGTCACTGGCATATCAACGGGGGTGATGCTGCGGGAGTCTCCCTGTCCAGAGTCCCCACTGTTAAAGGTTTCATTGTCTCGTTCTGGACTGCTCACCTGAGAGGAATCACTCCACCCTGCTGTTAAAGATCATTAGCAATGGTAAATAAGTATTGTAACAGAAGGATACCCTTAAACCTGTGGGCATAATCTTAAGCAGCAAGTGTATGGGCTTGCAACAGATTTGTCTTTCAGCCACAGGAAGTTGTCAGAGGGCCCCAGTGAGATTAGAACTTTGAAGCTGGTTTAAATTCATCACACTTGCAGCATTCAATGGACCGTAATTTAACTATAAGTAATGACTTTTCATACTTTTAAGTAGGAGAGGGCACTAGCTTGGAATAGCTTTAGCATTTGCCACATACATATATTACCACAAAAAAGCGTATGCTAGCTTCTGAGTAGAGATAAAACATAATTTCTGAAAAAAAATGACAGGATTACCAAGAGCCAAGTAGTCATTTAGTCACTTTCAAGACCTGAATTTGCATTTCAGGTTACCTCAGTACTGTTCTTCTGGAGCTGCATTCTTAGTTGGTCATATCAACTTACAATGCTAGAATATTTTAAGTTTGAAAACTAGAATTGCTTTTAAGCTTTCTGCACCCCACTCCCCACAATGAAGCTATTTATCTTTTCAAATATCCAAGTTAAAAGTATCTAGAATGAAAACATTAATAGATCTAAGAAATGTAAAGCAGTCACCCTCAAGTTTCAAGCCACTGTTATTTCCACTGGAAAGGAACACCTTAAGGTATCAAATAAAACTAAGTAAAGTTGCTACTGGTATATTACTGATATCTACTGTTAACTCACAACAAATCTCACATTTCTTTTAATTCTCTTTGAGGTGTGTTCTACAGGTCCTCCCTGACTGAGAGATGACCTGCTTTATCCTACAACAGTTTCCATAGTATGCCATAATTTCCCTTTATTCTTCAAAGTAGTGATCTATAGTTACTATTAATCTTTCTTTTCACCTATAGCACTGTAAGTCCAGCTTTTTTGAGCACATTTTCCAGGATTAAGTCATCTTGTTTACAACTTTTCAAAATGCACCCTATTCATGCTTGGACTGAAACAGCTAGTCATATATTTCTTTAGGTTTTGTACACCAGCATGGAAGTACAGAGTAAATCTGTATTCCCAAACTGTTTTTCATAGAAAAACATTATCTTAAAGTTTTGGGATCTGATAGCTCACCAAGAATCAGGTAAGACCATACAATTAAGGGATAAGCCAAATGCAACATGGGAACCACCCTGTATTTCCTGGTCAGTTTATTTGTAAAGAAAGTTCAGTAAGGTACCATTGTGTCAAAACTTTGACATGTGAAGACACCAAATTGAGAGGCAACATTAAATCTGCTGCAATGCTGACTAAGAGCAGTACTTAAGCTTTCATCTGTCTTGGTTAATTTATACCAAGCCTGGTCTGTTTCATCAGTGATAGTATACTTTTTTCTCACTATCCACTTCAGCATCTGCTGTGCCCAAGCACATACACATACCACTGGGAACCTGATGTTAGCCTTACCTCTTGAATTTGCTCGAGGACCACTAGTTATCCCACCTCGTTTATAGCACTGCTGGTAATTAACATCCTAAAAAGAACAGAAGTACTAGTAAGATTGATATGAGCAAATCTGAAAACAAGTGGGACTACCAAATATATTATGTTTTTCATTTGCATGATTAATTCAAGGTCTAGAATAGACAATGATAGAGTTCAGAATTAAGATGGAGATAAATAGCCTCATTTATGGAAGATTTACTTTTACAATAGCTTGTATGAAACTGAAGAGCTATTTCAATGCCTGTTCTAGCAAGTTAGCTTCTGAACTATACATTCAGTTCAGTTCATTGAGCATTACCTTAAATCTCAGGTCTGTTACAAGTCTGAGTCTGTACAGAAGCACATATTTCATTTCAAAGCTGAAGACCCTCCTCCCACCAGGAACCTTTGCTTTCTTACACACTTGTTTTTGGATTTTTTTTCCTAACCACATTCTCAGTAATCCATTTAAGAATACATTATTTTAAACTACAGAGGCACTGAGGGCTAACTTTAAAATCCATAGTAAAGTGGACTTGTTATGCCACATCTTATTTGCCATCTGTCTGCATTTTGGAGATTCCCTTCAGACTAAAATCAACCCGTCATACAGATATGTTACCTGTCTGAACTGACTTCCTATTTCAACTGCTGTCTACCATTCCAAAAAAAGGGCTTCATCTAGGAAACAAAACCAAACTCTACCTTGTAAAGAATAGTGCACCTGTTATGATAATGAAAAGCTACAGTATTAGAAGACTTCCCCCATACAGTGCTCAAGAAGGCTACTGGAAACAAAGTCAATGCTTACCCTCTGAGAATATGGCATTCCAGCATAATCTCTACCAGGGAACTGCAGCTGGCCATAGTTACCATTAGTTATTGAAGGTGTGCCTCTGTAAGCATCAAACCCTGGTCAAATAAAGTTGATTATTCAATATTATTCATTGTTTGGTTTACAAGTCCAGAATACAACTAGAGCTCCCTTTTAGCAGTTACATGTATTCCATTATGAATTACACATCTATTCCTTATTTCAGAGTCTCCCTACTCCTATAAAGAATGCTTTTCATTAGCTACTCTGAACTACCCAATGTATGTATCAGAATTACATGTTTAGAAGTATTAACATCAGACCTTAACAACTGCCTGTTTGGTATTAATGGGACTTTACAGAACAGCTGAAAAACTTGCTAGATCCAGAGACAGGATTTAGCAGAATTAAGAAACGCTTTCTTTTGCTATTACAGATGCTTAGCTATGACTGTTACACATTTAAGTACTACAATATTTAACATCTTTAGCTATTAAACTACCAAAGTCTTAACTGCTGATAAGTTAGAACTACATAACTCTTTCTGGTACATGTTCGTACAATGTATTGAGCAGTCTCAGCCCAGTAACCGAAACAATTTCTATCACAGACTAAGTGCCCTTCCAGTTCAAAATGGAATAGGCCACAGCTATCAGCAACCATAAGTTGGTATCTGCTGAAACTTTCCATAGTACTTCAGCTAGCAGAACAGCAATGGATTTGCAGAGACCAAGCAATCCTTCTCTTAAAACCCTTCAGTTTGCTACTAACCCAGAAAGGCTCTCCACTACCAGGAACCTCTTCCCCATCCCAGTTTCTGCTGGTAATATTAAAGCCAGCAATGCTAAGCAAAAAGTATCTTGTTTTAGGCAAATATTGCAAGTGACATCTGAAGAGATAATACCTGCCCAGAATGTTAGTAAGACATGCCAAGAGAAAGAATAAAGGGGGTAAAAAGTTCAGAGGGGTAAATGAAATAGCAAGCAAAAAAGTCTATACAATTAAGTAATTTAATAACCCGTTAGTCAAAGTTTCGACTTTCATAATTCAAAAGGCTATGAAATTGCTCTGCCAGTTCACCTGACACCCAAAGTATAGGGACTACAAATAAAAGTCAGAATGAACTTGCTTAAATTCTACAAATGAAGACCCCATTCTCTGCACATTGCTCTTAAAGTCTTGTTTTAAGAAGTTTCACATATAGAACTTAAATTTAACACCATGTTGTGTTAGATCATGTTCTAGTTTTTTAAGGTGATAGTAAATACATACATACCTTTGTACCCACCAGGCGAACGGTATGAATTAGCCAGTGACCTTCCACCTCTAGCAGATCCTCTGACAGACCCACGACTGTTAAGGTAAGGCTGGGGGGGTCTGGGAATAACATTAGTCTGTGCTGGATAAAAGGCAAGGCTACCATTGCTAACAGGAACAGCTCCATCAGGTTGATAATTCACTGCTTAAAACAGAAGGCACAGATGAATTCAAAGCTTTTAACTGTAATAAGTTATCACACCTAGAAGCAAGGGCAGCATTTGGAAGTTGAGACTGATTAAGCTGCTCTGAATATCCTGTTCTTGTACCCCTTCATTACTCCAAATAAGTGGGGATCCTCCCCTTTGTTCTGTAGAGTGTAATGCTTGTTAAAGTGTACTGTAGACAGCCCAGGCTGTCAGTGTAAGCCTCTAAGGCATTCAACAAGATTCAGTCACCTAGGTCAGAACAAGCTTGCTTAGCAGCATCAAAATAACCAAGCTAGAAAAAAAAAGTAACACCTGATTAAGAATTTTCACTTAGGACCAACACTGTTCTACTAGCAAGACCTCAATGATCTATCTGATAAACTAGGTCACCTCAGTGTTGACATCCTTCAAAATGAGACAAACTCAGTCTTATCTAGATAGCAGTAAGACATCAGTGGAAAGCTAGATATTTGGGTTCAGTCTCTTCAACAGACATTCCTACCATGTTATTAGGCAGTTCAACCTCAAGCACCAGGCATTCAAGAAGCCTTTTTCACTCACAGGGTGGTTGAGTGATTAGCTTTAAGTACAGACCTTGCAACCATGAATGTTTCTACAGGACCATGCTTTGTATCAATCCAAAAAGCTTAAAACTGATGCAGTGACAGTCAAAACCCCTTTCTGAAGTCTGTGCAGAGCCACTGCACAAGATTAATCAAAAAATTATGATGTTCCATCAAAAAGAAACTATATAGAAGGCTGATCACCTGTAGTCTCAGTGACAAGAAGGAGCATTCAAGCTAAACATGCTTTCCTGACTGCTATACTTATACTGTTCTTTGGAGTTCTCAATCTTCATATGTCTTATAAATCCAGATCCCTAGTTGTGAGCTTCCTTTCATCCTGGAACCTGCTTCAGGCATATTTCAGGGCTAGTTTCATTTCAAATTTAGTGTCAGCTATACAAATTCACCTGGTACAGTACCTGAACATGAAGCAGGTCAGTTGTGTTGACTAAGGCAGCTCAAGACCCCACTTTATCAGAAGTTTAGTATTCCTCAGGTTAGACTGAAAACTTGTCCCAGCTTCCTTATTTAGCATTCAGCAGCTCCCAGCACTAGTGTCTATTACTAGAGACCAAATTAATGATTCCAAATAAGAGTATTTCATCATTGCTTCAATTCCAAGCAATTATTTGACTGACAAGTATCACCGCATACTTGAATTTCCCACCTACTAGGAAATTCAGGCATGTAAGTGACACTGTCCATGCAACTAGTACAGAAACTAGTTTGAAGCAGCCTTTCATCCTGCTAGCAGTTTTGAAATTAAATTTACATACCATACCATCAACTACATTAGAGTTGATGTAACCCTAATGTTAACAGGTGCTACATAAGTGTTTAAGAATTTCACTGAATTAGAACTCACAGCACATGTTAATGAATTAAAAATACTACTATAACCTGAAGATCTTTAAAGACTACTTGAAATACAGATGCAAGTACAGTTCTCACCTGAAGAGAGAGATTCTTGTGAAAGAGAGGTTTGTTCTGCAACATGAGAGGATTGCAACTGGCATTGAGGAGAAGTCTGTGTACTTGCTGTAGAGAAACTCTGGTTATATCCTGACGAATACGAAGAATCCTCTTTAATTTCCTGGTCTTTACGCGGAGGCAGTGGCGCATTCACTTTAAATACCTACCACACATTTCAAGACAAGTGTTTGCCATGGTTTAAATCCATATGCCTAGATCAGTTCCTAGAACACCAACTGTCTCTTAGAAATAATCAAGGACATTGTACTTAACCCATTCTTTTCCCTCTCAGTAAACTTACAGAACTTACTCCTGTTAACATAGCTGCTACCCAAGAAACATAGCTTGATTGACCATAGCTATCATTTGATCAACAGAACAGCTACCATAGAATAAGCTATTTTCCTTCTATAGGAAATCCACTATTAAATTCACCGACTACCTGTCCTACAGCTTTTGACCTGAAGCTGGGACAGCCTATACTGAGATATTCACATTTGGGAGAATTTGGGTCTTTATACATGTCTTGGAACCTGACGCAACACTACTATCTACTCAAATACTATATTAGACAGCCTTCACCCCTTTGGAAAATTGAGCCTCAGCTTTCCTACTCGTTTTAAAGTTCCCTCAGAGTAAACATGTCACCTAAGTAACAGTCTTGTAATTCAAATTTTAACATTATAGCCTGGGCAGTAGGGTGGTGCGCAGATATTACTGTTAGTTAAATCTAATTAGCCAGAGTTCAGTCACTCCAGTGACTGTATTGCTGATAGCCAGTAACCAAAAATTACCAGAATTGATGCTGTCAAGTGACTAGTATCAAGATCAAATCAGAAAGAAGTCTATTTGGAGTAAAAGGATCTAAATTTCACATAAAGAGCTGTTAGCAGTACTGACACTGAGTCTAGATGTATCTGACCATTTTCCAAGACTGTCTTAAGACAGACCAGGGCAAAACTACAGCTAGATGCAAGAAACAGCTTCACAGCTTGACAACTCTTGTCATTTGCAGAAGCCTCTATAATTAAAATGGGAAATGAACACTTCTTCCAGGGTCAAGAAACCAAGTACTGCTGCTAAGAGGGAGCTAGCACAGAAACCCCTCATGATACTGAAGCGGTCAGTATAAATTTTGAACCATTTTACAGTAACAAATTCAGGTTTGGTTTTTTTTTTTTACTTTACCAGATTAAGTGATCAAAGTGATCCAAAGTAATCCTCTTTCTAAAAGAAATTTGAGGATGCTGTGCAGTCAGGCTGTCAACACCCACATCCTGGAGTATTTGAAACAAGTGGTCTACTTTTTCCTACAGTGATGGTTACAGGTAGAATTCTAATAAAGGACTAGGGCTACAGGTAGGATCTGCCTTTAAGCTTCCATTAAGTACAATAGCAGCAATAGGATGTTCAGACATCTGAGGACATGTAATCAGATGCTTCAATTGCCATCACTGTACTACCACTATTTGGCAAGGAACCATCTGACTCCCGGCTATCTACTGAAATCCAATGGCTGTGTTTTCCTGGTAGCAAGGAGAATCTAAGCAACATAGGGACGAAGAAAACCCTGCACTGCAAAGTTAAAGACTGCTACCACTACAAGAGGAATTAACATCCCAGCAACTTAGTGACAGGTGTTTGCCAGTTTGACCCCAAAATACCAAGAGAAATCTTGAACATTTAACATCTCTCAAAACACCACAGCACTAATTCAAGTGAACTTTCAGTGGTACCATTATGATCAAAAGCACTCTGAACACAGACACTAGGTTCAGATATGAACAGAATGAGACCAAGACTCTGTATTATATCATGACAGACATTTTATAGACTGGGTCCCCATACAGACTCAGATTCCTTGATCAAAGCATGCTGCTATTTCTCCACTTTCATGGAAAAAAAAATCACCACCTAGTCACTGAGCATAATTTAAATAGACCTGGCTTAGAACCACCACCTCCCTACCACCAATTGCCTTATTTATAATGTATATCAAAATTCTGTACCTCTGAGGAAGGTTCTACTTGGACCTCTTCTACAAATACAGAAGACCAAGGAAAAGAGTCATGGTAGTGATTTACTACAGACCACACCAACATGTCAGATATTTTAGTCATTAGTTTCTGTGCTTTGAAAGGCTATTAGCTACTTTCTTCCACCAAATCCTACTACATATGCCTCAGTACTGCAAGATGCAGATTGTCCAGCAAGTTGTGGAACTGCACTAGTAGATTCGTTGAAATGGACAATGCCCTTAGAGAATCTCAGTGACCTCTTTCAAGCTTGCTTTTGAGCAAGAACATTAAATGAAGGCTTCTAGCATCTTCTGAAGAAGGTATCAGAGGAGTAAATAAGACCAAGTACAGGGAAGGGAACAATAACAACTAAATGGAGACCCTTCCTCTGAGTCCCTCTAAGCTTGCACTGCAGATTACCAGACAGTAGCAATGTTAGTAATGTTAAGAGAACATTAGTAATGATGTATGGCCTGAAAAAATAGTATCCATTTGCAAAAAACACCACTCAGTCTGTGTGGACTATTCCCTAGACATCTATATTGACTACTTGTTAACAAGATAGGATGAGCTACACCAGTATTTATCAAGGACACATTTTCCATGATTCCAGTGGACTGAGTTTTACCCCACTAAACTAAACACTTTAAAAAGCAGCAAGACAGGTTCAGGCCTCAGAAAGCTTTTAGTCCTCACAGCTATATACTTCAGGATTCCCTCTCCTCTGCAGTCTTTATTATTTGAAATCTATGCATAAGAACAGTTTAAGTACAGTCAACTTGACCTTGGGGCACAGCTATAAATCTGTTGATTTCAGGTCTGACTCCTCCCTCATAGTTCCTTGAGGCTGCTAAGATATCCCAGTATGAGATTTTGGGACTACACAGAGCAAAATCAGGATCTCTGTTCTTAGTGATCTGTTTTAAGTTCTGAAGGCATTTGACAAGCAGAGTTCTAATCTAGGTTTAACACTAAAACATCAAAATTAACTATCAAGTTCTGTACTGTATCAAGAGGAGCCAGCTCCCCAGTATTAGGACTAAGTTATTAGCATTATTGTCAATTATTCTTCTGTGGCCTCAAGTTGCATACTTACAGTCTGCATAGCCTGAAAGGGAGCTGCTGTTATTGTGACAGAACTGCTACTTGCTGGAGGAGACTGAAAGCTTTGCGCTGGTGGTACTGGTGACATGGAGGTGCTTGAAGTAGGCAATGGTGACTGTGGCTCACTTGGGAGGGGAATAGTTGCCTGAGGGAAGAACAAATGTAATGAAAGGTCACTTGATAGTTATCAGGCAGTAACAGAAACAGTTAAATTGCTCTAAAGCCTAGACTGACAGAAGTCAGCAGTTTCTACAGGATGACATTTGGACATAGTAGAGCTACAAAATAGCTTTTGCTTACAATTTCAAATCTTGCTGTGCATCCTCAGCAAACAGGACTTCTATTGCAGTCTGTGCTGATTAAGTGAAATGTGCCTATGAGCTACTATACATACCACTCAGTGTAATAATGTCGCAATAAAGAGACATTAGGTATTTTTTCCCACCACTGTAGAAACATAGAATGCCTTCTGTTCCATTTATTGGAAGATGATTCTCTGGCTGATATTAAAAGTGACTTCTCCAAAGGAACTGTGGAAATTTTAGGGGGTTTGATTTTTTTTCCCCTCAACTTAATCAATTATGTTTCAGATTAGAAACAATGCTGAGTTGTCCAGACAAAGTATTAACCAGCATTGTCTCATCTGTGCAGACAGCAAAATAAAGTGTTGATTTCGAATACCAATATTTATAGATATCAGAAGTCAAAAGGAATATAAGGCTCTAGATGCATTTCAGCAACTAATATATTTACCTTACCTGTATTCATGATAGCTTACCTGGGCAATTTCAATCTTTTTAGGTATCAGTGGCTCAGAAATACGTGAACTTGTCTGATACAGTGGCTGGGAAGCGTATTTCTCCGTCTCTTGAGAAAGTGATGCTGATGCCTAGAAGAAGCCATACATGTACCTACTATTACAAGAAGTACTGCAGAAAGCACAAACTTCTGGTACAGCTATGAAATACCAGTACATAAGTTGAAACAAGTGGATTTTGAAAGACCATGACAAACACTAAGTCGAAAGTAAACATACTAAATAGTCACCTTAACCAAAAGCTTCAAGTAATTAGCTTTAGAGATTCAGACTTAGATTACCCTTCTTACACAACAGGTTGTACAACTAACCCTGCAAAGTCAGATAATTTTAAGAACTGTAGATTGCTTCAAGCACTTACAAAGTCTGTGACACACCTGTCCAATGAATTAAACAGAAAGGCATGTCTGATGTTAAGCTCCTGGTAAGCTCTGTCAAACAAGGCTTCAGAGCCAAGCTTTGGTTTGCCTTTACAAAACTTGTATGTTCTATAGTTAGCTCACACTTGTAAAGCTAAGTTTAAGAGTTGCTCATACTTAGATACACAGCCTGGGGCTAAAGACTACCAGCCCCATTCTCACCATGTATACCATCACAGGTGCATTAGACAGAACTGCACTTGCATACCAGCAGAGTGCACTGTCACCATGGAGTGTATTCCATGGTTGTGCTGGGACCAAACAAAGTTTATCTTCTGCTTTCCATGAGAAGCAGGACTGGAAAAGACAGACACCACACTTCAAGCCTAAGGGACTAGAGATATGCTGGGCATAAGCAACCCTAATTCCAAACAGTAAGTTTGCAAAAAACCTCAGAACATTCTACTAAATCGGATGTTCTACATTATAGCACAACAAAAGTCTTCTGGATGCATATTAAACAGCGAATTTATTTAATCCTTGTCAGCACAAGTAGTCTTACGACATTGTAGATGTGAAAGAAGGTGTCAAGAGCCAGGCCAAAACTGCTGATTCAAGAGGCAGCAAGACTATAACATCCCTGTCAAGGCTGTTATATTCAACTATACAGTATATTAAGGAATAGAGTAAATGCTACATGCACAGTATACTGATAGCATGTACATCAGGAAAAAAAACATTTCAAAAGCATGAACATTTCCCCATTATAATCTACAAACTGTACTAGAGACTCCAACAGGTAAGACCTGGCACTTAGCAAGAGATCTTTGAGACAGTGATCTGCACAAATGAAAACACTATTTTCAGCTCTAAACAATCACTGAATGCTAGTTGAATATTTAACTGCACATAAATACAGTTAAGAAAGCAAAGTTTGAGGTCTTGGCTGAACATCAGGAAGTCAGATTCCCAGCATTTCTTCAGCTAGTGCTTGAAAGAATACATCTCAGTTTTCAGCTTACACAGAAGTCTATTTCACAACAATATCCATCCCAATTTATGCATCCTCTATGTTGTCATTGCAGGGACTATTCTACACTGTAACCAAAGCAAATATTTATGCTACTCATATGTTACCACAAGAATATGCACCACACTTTCCAGCCTGCATTTTTCATCCCACACCCTTCCCATTTCAAGGGGCAGACTGTTCACTTTGCATTCATGCAGTGTTAAGACGACCATATTCCAGAATGTAGGCTATACTATTGCTGTTACTTGTATTCTGTCCCTGTATGTTGTTCAAAAATAGTTGTTCAGGAGAGGCCCCACCACAGCTTTCTGTTAGGGTAGCTACTGCACAGATCTTTGAATGCCACTGAACCCCAGGGTACATTACCTGTGGTGTCACCAAGTCCTCAGTTTCAGAGCCAGAAAGAGTCTGATCAGCAGATGCTAGGGAAGTATTTGAACCATGCAGTGTCATGGATGAAGCAGCAGCCTTGCAAGAGGAGAAAACTGAGATAAGGTTCTGAAAGATTATCCTAAACATTTGGTTTCACTGAAACTCACACTCTGGCCATTTCTAAGTAAACCTCAGAATGAGGCAGGAGCTGAAGTGCTTTGACCAGTTAGTCTAAGTTTCTTAGGAATTCTTGTTAGTGGCAAAGAAACCTATTTAAAAGCCAAAGTAGCAAGACACACAAGCACAGTAAGTGAATGTAAGGTTCACTTAACCATGGTAGCCAAATCTTGAGACACTATCTTTGGCCTAAGTGAGGATCTCAAAGATGAAGACATGCACTGTCTAGGAAAGCAGCAGCATGTTCTCCTACACACAACTATTAGCTATGACTTGACTCTATGGGTTAAACATTCAAACTATTTCAGCATGTCTTCAACATACTGTTTTACTTCAAGAAATTTCAAACATTTGTTGCTGCTTTTCAAGCAGAAAAGCAGGCAACTTTGTCAGCATTTGAGTGATCTTAGACTTGCAAGCAACTAAGTCATATGAAATTTGTTACAAAACTACTAACAACAAGAAAAACAATTGAAGTACTAAGTCTATTCTAGTGAATAACTTCTATACAATTCCTTGGCTACAGCTCTGCCTCTTCAGGGCAGTCTTAACTTCAACTTACTTGAAGGGGCTGTTGAAGGAAATCACTCTGACTTGGCAGTTTCTGTTCTTTTGAAGCTGGAAAAAAATGAATGCATTAAGCAGCATTTACTTTTAAATTCAAACACTGCATATGTTTTCAAAACTAGAACTGCACACTGAAACTATTTGGTGCATGAAGATACACACTATTTTTAGTGTATGCACTGCAAATACTTAGCATCAGTAAACTACACCCAATTGAAAGCTTCGGTTTCTTTTTGTAAGAGGACAGGTAAGGTTAATAAAAATATTCCTACCACAATACAGATATCTACTTTCCAGACTAAAAGCAGAAATTAAATGTTTAATAAATGGGGTAATTGTGTTTTACAGCCCAAGAACCACCCAAACAGTTTCTTGACATGGCCCATTGTAGAAAGTTCCACTTTTCTAAGCACAGCTAGATAACTGCTCTTTATCCTAAGCTCATCCACAGCTTGTGTCTATCAGACACCACATCTAGACAAGTTTGTTACACAGATACAGCATGTCAATTCTGCAGCTGGGTTCAGATGCACATGCCAGTCAGTGATTATACAAACAATCCATTTCCAGGCAGATGCACCAACTTAAGCCACCTCCAGCAACAAATAAGCAGGTAAGTGGCTCAAGTTGTCTTTGTTTTTAATCAGATATTGATGTTCTTTATAATTAGACAAGCTGTCTTCACCATGCCTACTGATCTACAGCCCAAGCAAACCCTGTTACTGTTTGCAAAAGCCTACATGCAATTTACACTTACGGTATTACCTACCTACAGGACTACTTGCTGGAGTAGCTGAAGGTGGTTGGGATGAACCAATGGCACTTGGTGAAGCTTTATCAAAATCCAGAATGGACTCCTTTTGAGAAAAGATCATTGGTGAGTAAAAAAAATTTAAACTCTCAATACAAATGAAACATTCTCATTTGACAAGTTGCTGTTAGCTAGAGTTAGATTCATTCAGTGCAAACACATTGTCAGCACTGTTTTCCCTAACTCAGGAATTGGAGCTTTGTGCTACAACAGCAGAGAAAAACCTACTTGCATGAAGTTGTAAGTCCCTTGTATCTGAGTCATCAGATCCTGAAGTTTTTCCCTTCTCAATACTGGATCTTTTGGAAGAGTTGAAGTAGAGCAAAATTCCGCAGCTGGCTGATGTACAGGTTTAGGCACCTAATAATGACAAAAAAATATTAAATCTAGGACAAGCTTCCAGAGCAACCTATAGGTGTCACAGACACTGTGGACCAAGGAATTCTGTGCTGTTATATTTCCTGAATCAAGCTTTCACTTTTTTAACAAAGTCAACTAGTTGTGGCAACAGTAAACTAAACCACAGAATTAATTCACTTCAGTTTCTTACAGTCAAATGTACCGAAGACAATAAGTTGCCTGCATTTAGTGCAAAATTAGGTACCTCCATCTAAGGAAACCCACATATTTAAGTTGAAGGCCCAAACTTAAAAATCAAAGCTGCATCACTAAAGGTTTAAAACATACTTCCTCCCAGTAGAGCCCATGTCAGTGAGCATAGATCCTTTATTAGGATGGCATTTCCAGACATTCCAAAGATACTGCACCCAAGAGATACATTGCAAGCAGGTTACTCAGGATTAGACCAAAGTGCTTCCACTAACAAGCCAGATACTCTCAATGCACCAGCTCCTGCAGAAAATATTACATCAAACTTTTCAGTTTGGCATGAAACCTACAACTAGGCCCCCATGTGGGAGCCTAACTTTGTAGCTAAATAAAGACTTCTGCAGGGCCTTATTACTCCTTGTTTCAGATGGCCCCTTAACAGTTCACTGCAACTGGTTCTCCCTTCATTTTAAAAAAGGGAAATGTTTTATCAGAGAATAGACAAGTCTAAGGTATCATAAAAATGATAGTAAACTCCTTAAATAGCAGAAGCCCTGTTATTTACAGAGTGACAATAATATTAGACTACCTGGATAGCCTAATATGTTTTTTGAAAACAGCTTGGGGAAGAGGTAGGCTTGTTATAAGTATTTTAAAACCATAATTTTTAGTGATTTCTAAAGCTTTGTTGTTCTTATGTTTGTCTACACAGCTAGAGGGAGGCAAATCTGAAGACATTAAGTAGTTGCATTATTTCAACCAGCCCAAATGTTGAGACACACAGGAACATGTGAAAACCTTTACTCTCCTACAGTACAAACATTTGTTTTTCTAATAAGAGGTTACTTCTTCAACACGCTGTATAACAGTATAGTTGAGTATTTGTATGAAGTCATTAGACAACTATATGGCAGAAGGATATACGTGTCATGACATTTAATTGTCACACTAATTCAAAACAAATTGATAAAATGCTCTTTGTCCAGTTTTAGGACAACAAGCCCAAATACACTCTTGCATTTCTTCAAGTTTCATGAAACTAATCACTAGCATTTGCAGAAATTCCAATAGCATGCACAGGGAAGAAGCTTGCAGGGTTTAGTGAGCTTCACAAAGCATAATCCATGTACATGCAGCACATCATTAACTTGGAGGACTCAATTTCTGTTGTCTATGTGGCCCACACAACAGCTATTTATTGAGCTGTGAGAAGTTTCACTTTATTCTAGAGCTAGAAGAGTGCACCTATGTACTACTCTATCTTAATTAGAATTTCTGATGCACAAACACTACCTTTAACTACTGACTGTGCAAGTTTGTATTGCTATATGGTTTCCAATAACGAACAGGAACTAAAACTATTAAGGATCTAAGTGCAGGACAAAAGATACAGTTGAATAAAGTTAAATCTCATCAAGTTATAGATTAATCTACTAGGAATCTGAATCTTCCTGCGCATCACGTTATTAGCCCTCACAAGCAGACTTAATCTTAAAACACTTGCTGTCATGGTAAATTCATTAGGAGTCAAACAGATTAATGCTTCTGTTACCCTCTTCCTCCTCACTGCAGTTTACTAAAACACAAGTACACTACAAAACTAGTTATGTATGTTTGCAAATGGATAACAAGCTTTTCACCTTTAAGTCACCTAACCAAGTCAAGTCTGGCAGTGTCTGAAGCTATTAAGATTGTCCACTAGCTATGTAAGCTAGACTTGTACATTAAACAAATAAGTAAAAACAGCCTCAAGAGCATGGAAGCAGAAGAGACTGCAGTGTTTCATTTGTGCAAAGATGATACAATCTTCTGTATGCTTTTACAATTTGTTAGTCTCTCCACCTCCTTCACCAGCTCATACTCTGGGCATTATACTGGTAGCATTCTTTACTTCAACTAGAAGAGCAAGCATACAGTGTTACATATATGATATTAGGGCTTTAGGCCAGGATTGAAACATTGAGACTCTCCATTCTGTAGAAGTTATTTGCCAGTTCCTGCATATATTAAAATATATTAGCCAGAAGTAGCTATAGTGACATTACCTCGTATTGATTTGCTGTTTTACTGGTACTTAAGTACCAGTATTCAAAACTAGAATATTCAAGTGCAATACAGAGCACTTCATGAAAAAGCTTCAGAAAGTTAAAGTATTTCAGGTCTTATGCCTTTATAAAAGAGATGCTTTGAAAAAGAGCAGGTACTTGACATCTTAAGATGGTTTTAAACCAAGTTTTCTTTCTAGCCTACAGTTAGATGCTGTTTCTGGAAGTCATTACAACCTGGTGGCAGATTCTGAGTTTAGTAACATGTTAGACCAGCTCAAACTTACACATGCTGAGATCACTTAACACTAGCGGTTCAAGCAACATTCAGGTTAGTTTTACACAGCACTGATAAGTTTAGGGTCTAATTTGTCATAACAATGTTTCTGAAACCTAACTTCAACACTACTTACACATTCAGCAAAAACTGTTTTGACACTATCCAGAGAACTAACTAAAAATGGAGTTGAAAAACCTAGAATTTGTTTTAGAACCTGCTAAACCACTGCAAATGAACCAATGTAAAGGCACACTGACCACTTTGGAATTTTACTAGTCAAAGTGTCAATATACTAGGTACTGCTGTTAAAGCTTGATTTTTTTTTGGTTTTGAGAGACTGAAGGTCTACTTATATATAACACCACTCCAACATACATTTTAATCCCCTCACATACTAGTAAAACTCCATCCTATGATACAGGACCTCAATTCCTCTTTCAGTTTGTTAGCTGTGGAGTACTAAATGAGCTGGAATGGCAAGACCTAAGCTGTAATCACAACAGTGATCACCAGCTGTGCCACGTAGCTATACAATTAACATTTGCTTTCTACTCAGAGCAGCATTCACAGCAGGTATGAATTCAATAGCACTGGATGACAGCAAAAGCCAAACTGTTTTGCTTTCACACGGCAGGCCACAAATTCAGCTCTAACTCAGTTTGCTCATCCACAGGTTGCACAAACATTTAAGTAGAGTAACAGTTTAACAAGCATGCACATCAGCTCACTCTGCCTTAGGCCCAACTTCTTAGGTACTGCACCTTACAGTACCTTAAGTTAAATAAGCATATTTTAAGATCTCAAAACTGAGCAGTTTATTAAAAGATGTCTTAGAGTTCTAACAGTTACTGCAGGGAGTAAAGAAAGGCTAATTTCAGCTCCAGAAAGCAGCAAGCAGTAACATAGGCCTTTTATCTACCATGCCTAGATCCCTGCACAAGGTCATTTATAGGTTCTCCCTAGGAGTGAAATGGATCCAGCTATAGCACTGCATTGCCTCTTCTTTCTTCATATAAGCAAAGGCAAGACAAATTTCATTATTCAAAAAGTTTAAAGTATGATTTTAATTGTTCTCTATATGCATCTCAAGTCAAATTAAGACACTTATTTTTTAAAAAGTGGTTATGGAAACTAGCTAGGTTGACAATACACTATTTTCACTCATTCTATATCATTTTGATATTAGAGTTTGTCAACAGCTACTAAGCAAAAATATAGCCAGCTGGTGTTTCACTATGGTCTACTACATAAATCTAAGTTTGAATACTTAAAAATATGCTTTGTTTACTTAATTCAGGAATCCAGCTTAAGCAACCTTACATTCCAACATTCGATTTAGTTTCATTTGGCTGACTTGCACACCTGCACATTACTCTGAGGATTCCTAGGCAGTTTGCAAGTTTCTCCAACTGACTGGAGACTCTCCTTTTTCCTTGCTGCATCAAAGTTTTGTCCACCCCTTAAGCCATCCATCTTTCCATCCTATACAAATATAAGAGCCCCATCTCATTAGGAAGCATCTTGCATTTAAGCTTTAAGTTAATCTGACACCAGAAATTCCAAGGCATCTTAAAGTGCTTGAGACTATTCCAATATACAATATGATAGTTTCAGTTACAGTAATACTATGCATAGTTGGGTGCACAACACCTACTTGTGCTCAGAGCTACTTAGTGTGAGGCAACCAGGTTTTATACGTGTACCACCACCACCAGTGGACACAAGATTCTACTCAGTTTGAGTGTAAAGATGAATCAAGTTGAAACACCTTAATCCCATTTTGTTACCCAGTGCTGCATGTTACCTACTCTTTTAATTTCATGTTCAACCTTCTGTTTGCGCTCCCGCCTCTAGGCACAAAATTTTTTCAGTTATGCCACATTCACTGACAAGATTTAAGCTTAATAATTTGCTATAAGTAATATGGAATGAATTGATTTCTGCTTTCTTGCAGAAACAAGGTAGTAGTGCTAACAGCATTGTGTACAAAAGAATTGCTCAATTCCCCATATTTTCTTCCTGAAGTCTAACTCTAAATAAAACACTGCTCTTAACAGAACTGAACTCTGCTTTGCCTACCATCTTACCTATTTCCACAGTATCAGAATTGTTACTACCCAAGCACAGGTGAGAAAGAAGGCAATGTAACCAGGTAACACGCTTAGCTGTAAGCCCTGCAATAACTTTCATTTTATATTTCTAAAACTATGCTATTGTCAGCCTCTCCAGGACAGCAGTATGGCTTATGCATTCATCTGGAAATACATATTTAAGCCCCTGTACAGTTGGTATTGCTTGATCTAGATGTTAGATCTCTCTTGAATCAGCAGCTATTTTAATCAAAAGCCTAAAAAATTACTGAAGTGCTATTTGCATGCAGCCACAGACAAAGTATTTGATCCCTGGATGAGTCATACTTGCTTTGTACTGATAACAGTGGACAGAGCCAATAGCTGGGGATGAACTAAGTTAATTCTTCTGTCTTATGCATAAATCAGCTATTCAAGGCTCAAACACAGCAATACTGTGTTGATGTAAAAAGCAAAGCAGACCATCTTGCTATGCATATTATAAGTTTAATTGCCAGAATTATTTCCCCCAAGAAAGAATGAAATAGGAGTCTAAACATTGGCCTACAAAATGCACCTTAAAGCCTCTGCTAAAAGGTGGCTTTAGTCCAATACACTAGTGTGAAAAGCTTATGACAGGTAATACTACATATGCCAACTCACTTCTTTGGGTTCCATATCAAACTTCTTTGGCCCCATCTGCTCCTTTGGCCCAACACTTGCAGCTCCCCAGGACTTCGGAGGGTTCTGTAACTGCTGTGATGACACTTGTTGCTGCCTGTCAGCTTTTTCCCAAGCCTCTCGGGTCTCCTGCTTCTTTTGTTCTGGCTCCTCCCTAACATGTGCAGCCCAAGCCTTCACAGGCTCCTGCTTCTTTTGCTCTGGCTCTTCCCTAACAGGCATTTCCCATGATTTCACAGGCTCTGGCTTCTTTTGTTCTGGTTGCTCCCTAGTTTGGGTTACCCAAGGTTTTGGAGATTCCTGCTTTTGTTCTGGTTCTTCCTTAACTTTGGTTACCCAAGGTTTCGGGGACTCCTGCTTTTTCGGTTCCTGCTCTTCCCTAACTTTTGCTACCCATGGCTTAGGTGATTCCTGTTTCTTCTGGTCCTGCTCTTCCCTAACCTTTGCTACCCAAAGTTTGGGGGACTCCTGCTCCTCTCGGACACGTGCTACCCAGGCCTTTGGAGCTTCTTGCTTCTTCTGTTCTTCCTCCTGAACACGGGTCTCCCAGGGCTTTGTAGACTCACGCTTCTGTTCTTCTTCTTTAACACGAGCTTCCCAAGGCTTTGGAGAATCTGATCTTTTTGGTTCTTGCTGCCTAACACGAGCTTCCCAAGGCTTTAAGGTCTCTTGTTTCTGCTTCTGGTCCTGATCTTCAATATCAACAAGCATTTCCCAGGACTTTGGAGGTTCTTGCTTTCTAGCACACTCAGCTTCCCAAGATTTGGGCTCTTCTGGCTTCTTCTTGACAGAGTATTCTGCTTCAGGCAAATAACGCCTGTTGAGAAACTATATAGACCAAAGAAACTTAATGGCTCCCAAGAAAACATTTTGCTACTACAGTTCAGGTCAGTTAAGTTTAGGTCACCTAGCTACTGAAAACTTCTGACTAAAAGCAGAGTCTAGACAATTTAAGCACTTGCCACAGAAACTATGTGGACAGCCGTGGCTTTATCCTACAACACTGCAGACTAGCTTTGCTTGGCATGCCACAGAGAAGCACGAAACAGTCCTGAACAGCCCAAGTGAAACATACTTGAGCTGAGTGAATTTATTACCCTTATCCTCAATGCTAACTGATGTTCCTAGGCAGTGACAATATCAAGTTCAGTTGTGACTTTTATAAAGGTAGCTCTCCTCCTAAGCATCTAAAACACAGTGGTACTACATTAGATGCTCTGCTAAGTGTAGCAGCACCATCTCTCCAAAAGTCTTTGACCCTCTGGAACTCCAATAACCAAGTATAACCATCATTCTTAATGGAGTCAAAATACTAAAAAGTCACCAGATTCTCAGATTTAGTACCACTGGACTTTAACCCCAGGCTGTATTTACTGTCAATAAGTCTGAGAGTTCAATGAAGATGCCCTAAAGTTTTCCTGAGTTACTACTTTGTCATAAACAGGAAGTAAATGTATGAAGCAAAGAATGTACAAGGCTCACTGGCTGAGATTGTTCCTCTGACATGTCACCAGAAAAGCTTTAGAGTCAGGTAACTGTTACAGTAGGTTACAAAAACTTGTTCTAGAGTACACCCTCTAGTGGGATACCTGGGAAAGAGGGATTCAGCATTTTAAGAACCAGTATTTCAACTTACAAAAGGACACCCCTCCCCACCTTTTGAACCAAATCTAATGGGTTTTATGCTATTGCCAGTTGAAGCTTGAGTACTTAACTCAGGAGTCTGAAGGGCTGTCAAAACAGGTCTAGGCACCCCTGTGCACACAAGTCTGTCTTGGGATCCCTACTTCTCTGACAAATCAGAGCAAGGCCTACATCATTCTCAACCCCACCAATATCAAGTCTACTGCAATAAGCTTAGCTTTCAGAGACAGTTTTAGTAGATGTGTATTTTCTCTATCTCATCGTACACAAAAGATCAGTATGGTTCTACTCTAAAGGCTGATGCTTTGGTTTATTCAGGAAAATGCCAGAGCATTAAAGTACTATAATGCCCCATTTATCACAAAATACTCCAGAGAAGCCATGAATTTGGGGTTAGAAATAGAAATGCAACCAAGTTTTTAATGCTTTCTACATAAAGCAACACCTAAGTTGCTGTTCAGACTCCCCTTTTCAGTTTAAAAAAGGGCTACAGAGGTGCAGTTATGTTTCTGATAAATCACAATACTAAAGGAAAGCAATTAGCAGTGGAGTATCTTACCTCCTGTGGCTGTATTTCAGACTTCATAAGCTCCATAATGGATTCTAGAGAAAGGATGTTAATTTGTTTCAACTGATCAAATGCAGAACTGCAGACCAAACAGTAGCAAGTCTTTAATTCTAATGAAATAGTAGTCCCAATTGCTAAAACAGATATTCTGAAAACTCAGCTTGTCATTCAACATGCAATTTTTAGGCAAGCTTTTACTTTCCAATTCAGTTTTACATTTGCTGAAGTTTAGAGTTAAGCAAGAAACATTTTGTAGTATCCATAATTTGGTTATTGTAATATGTAACATTCCCTACATCAGACCATTCTCACATCTTAAACATGGAGGCTTGCTCAGAAGGCAAAAACACCCTATTAGTATGAATTAGGTTTCTTTCTACAGTATTAGCCAGAATAGGGCTGCAAGCCTTGCAGGTTCCATTTCAGTTACTATGTTGCAAGTAAGCTACAGCACAGGATTAGATTTAGCATGAAGCTACACAAAGTCAATGCTCAGTTCAAGCTTATCCCAACAGTATGCTATAGAAATTGAACCCTGTAATATTGCACCTGGTTCTTTGACAGACTCTCCTTTTGACATCTGTCTTGTTCTCTCAGATTTTCTATTTACTTCTTCTTCCAATTCTTTTACTGGCACAGTGGTGCGAGGAGTCGGAATACTTTCAAAGTAGCCAGAGTCTAGAAGTTTGGATAACAGGTCCTTCATGTGTTTATCTGAAGAGTAAAAATCCATGAAGTTAAGATACAAAAATTTGAAGTTAAGGAGTATTCAGATTACAGATCAAGACTCCCTACTTCCTCCCTTTATACAAGCTGCAACTTCTCCAAGTTCACACATCTTCCTGAGTTATAGCACTAAAATGTTTTAGTAAAAGAACACATTTGTTCAACTGCTTTATATTACAGCCAAAAACATCTTTGCAATCCAGATGCAAGACTGCAGCTTGTGTTTGAATGCACACAAGGTAAACACTGAGCCACCTGGTCTCCCACATGCTTAGAAAGGGATTTGTTTACCATTATAAACTAGCCAGCACTGATACTAAAAGCACATTGTGCAGACTGTAGCATAGGTAAAGCTATACAAAGTCACTGTGGAACTGCCCTACAAGACCCCTTTCCCAGTGCAGGATGGTAAGTCTCAGAAGGAAAAGTTAAGAACTGCAAAAACAAGCAGGGGGAAGAAAGCAAGAGATTGTTCCAGACTGAACTTAATCCTCTGAAGTTTTGGAAAAAAAAAAATCAAAGCTGACATGGCTGAAGAAAAACTTAACCGCCTAGTCTTTCCAATGAGCATTGTCCAGTTCCCTTTATGCAAAAGAGACATCAGCTTAGATTAGAGTAAGACCTCAGAAGTAGCAGTGATACCAGAAATTGTTTCAGAGGAGCTAGAGACAGGGCATCCTTGAGAACAGGAAGAACATTCAGTAAAAGATCACTCCTACCAGTGACAACCATATAAACAAGAATAGTAGCTAGAATTTAATATGGATATAAAAAATTGCCTTCCAAGGTAATGAATGCTAATGAGATGTCATAACAGCTTTATCTGAAGTTTAGCTTACGCACAAAAGGATGGAAGACTGACACTAAAGGGATAGAAATACTGACAAAATAATCACAAAAGTTTAGATCATAGCCAAAAAGCTACAAAAATTTGGAGTCCAAGATAACCAGGCAACTATCAATTCATATCAACAGATACAAGGCTAAAGTTACCAGCCTGCAGCTCTACAAGGCCAGCTTGCACTTTGTCCAGAACTCTATGAAAAGAGTTAACACTCAGCTGTCAGTTCAACTATCTGTATGTGGAAATTAAGAGTACATTAGTGCTCTCATCTAACAGTTTCAACAACATTGTTGTCAATGACAAATGAAAGATTACTGCCACACAGCCATTACAAGACTCGAGTAAATGGGACAAGCAAGGTCTGTTTGCAATAGGAAAGACACTACAACTCAAGTAAGGACAGCTTCCTCACAAGCAAGTTCTAAATAGGAACACAGAATGTATGTTAGCTTACAACCAGAGTTTCTGAAACTAAAAGCCACAGATGGAAGAAAATAGGTAGCCCCACAGATTTCTGTGTACTTGAAAAATTAGGACATTTGCAATAGGTCAAAGCAAGACTGTACTGTGCATGACTAGAGATCACAGCAAGTTCCATTAATGACGGTCCTTCCTCAGTGTGGTATCCTGCCCTGTAGTCAGACAATGGGTATGGAATTCCTACAAGAGGAAACCTTCAGTGCTGGGGAATCTTCAGCCTGGGGCCACTGAAGCTTTATAATACACATCAGTATACTCAACTAAGCATTTCACAGCTGGGAACAGTGTTCCAATCTTAACACATTTGCACATAATTATCCAAAAAGCTTCCCATTGCTGGTTCTGTAAGGTATTCATGCATCACCTTTTGAATTTCTGCCATAATTACTTCTCAAAAAGGTGCTAGTACATTGGTAGAAGAACATGCTTTCTTTTTCCAGGGAGAGATTTACTGTACTGTTTTGATCTGTACTTAAAAAAACAGAATTTAGAACAAACAGCAGTTCATCCTTGGATAACTGCGTTAACACACAGCACTTGAAAGTGCTTAATTTAGCAGCCTTCCATGTATACTCATTTGTCTTAGGATGTTTAAATAGCACACAAATTTCAGATCTAAGTTATTTCCCTAAATGAGACACTCACATGTTGTTCCAACCACAGGTTTCTCACTTCCTTCTAGAAGGTCCCAGAAGTAAAGAGATGATTGTTCCATCTGGTCTTCCACACTAAAACAAATGACAGTTTAACCAGGTAGAATCATAGCCAAGATCAAGTCTTGTAGTATCTCAATACCTCTCATTTTAAGACACTAATGTTTAGCCTTCCGAATTAAGGCTGTATACATAGAGTGAATCCTAAGCCCATTATCCACTACTCAAAGTGATTCATCTGTGTCTGTTTGTACATGATTTAATCTAGTAAACACAAGTTCTTTTGTTGGTAATTAAGACAGACTAGAGAGCCTAGCACTATCCCACAAGACCATATGGCTGGACTTCATTCCAAGACAGGATTCCCAGGCAGGGAAACAATTGCTGTTTAACAGCTGATCACCTTGTCTATTGGACACACATGTGCAGGGGCAACCACCAACAGCTCCAGACACTCTGCTAGTTATTAAGAAACTTTGACATAGGTCCATGATCCACCCCACCCCCTCCAGAAAATGGTTGAAGGCCACCACAATGAAATTTAGTATCCCAAAGGAAAGGATTATGCTTCTTGAGGAAGTATAATACAATGAGAATTATAAGCTAGAAATAAAGTTATTTCACTGGGATGAGAGACTCCTATTGTGTGGCTTTTTATAAGCAGCTGTTCTTCAGAAGTTAGCTTAGGAGCAAAGATTAGGCAAGTTTAGCATATGACAAGTGATTAGAAGTTTTAGGAACTTAAGTCACATTTGAATATGGAAATAATTACTCTTATCAGTGTTTCAACTTACCACCTAATAACTACTTTTTCCATATTTAAATACAATTCTTAAAACAGACAGGCTGTCATGCTAAACATAAGCCATCATAGTACAAGCATGATGCCAAGTTAGTACTGATACACATCTGTTGACAACCTGTTACCTTAAAATGTATGACGTTTAGTGCAGAGGTATAAAAACCTTCAGTCAAATTTTTAAAACTACTTGAAGCTAATAGCAAGAGAGCCTCAGGACTACTACCTTACATTTCTTTGGAATAAAGAAGCACATCTGGATCATCATGTGAATGGAATATAGAATGGTTCTCCTGTGTTTACCACAATTTTCATTTCATGAACAGTGAGACCTCAGGGAAGCAGCATACCACCAACCTCCATGCTTATGATGGTATTGGACTATCTCCCCTCAACTCCACAGGGAGACATAAGATGGCAGGGCTTGTGTGTAACTTGCACAACTGAGGCTGTAATTACTGCAGCTTTTCTTTAATGCTCAGAGTGAGGTAAATCTGCTACACTCCTAGTCTCAGACTAAAGCAAGTGTACTGAATAGAATCTTAATTAGTGTCCCAAAGCATATTTCAAGACATGGCAGTGTCAAACAGAGGACATTTACTGTAATGAACACAGCATACCAATTAGACAAAAATCCTGAACTTACCTCAAGCTCTCATTTCTTTCTGGACATGTCAGTTTTGCAAATCTTATGAGGTAGTCTAGTTCTTTAGAAGGCAAGTATATTGCACCATTCACACCACCTTTGAAATCTTTCTGAACATGCTCTTGAGTGAAGTTCTGCAGCACATACTGGACTTGAAGTATTGTACGCAGTTTTTTCTTCTCTGCTTCAAGCTTCAATAGACTCTCTCTTCGCTGAGCCTTCCTCTGTGCTTTCAGCAGCTATTTCAATACATAAATTCAACAGTTAAATGCAGTGGTTTAGTAAGAGGATTCTAGGATAACACACATTGAGTTCTAGTATTGATCATCCTACATTGATCAAAATAACTATTAATTTTGGTTAGATAACAGAAGCTCCTAATTCTCTCTTCAGATAGCCAAGATCTTTCAAGCTCCTCCTCTGGAAGAGCTCCCTGCTTATCTACTAATTCTCTACACACCTAGCTTTTAGTCAAACTGAATACTGGTAGCTTCACTTGTGATATGCCTTTATGATATTTAGATCCTGGCTATGCCTACTAGTTGCTTTATTATAACAGCTTTCACAACTGAATATAAGAAATTGATAGAATTGATACCAGTGTACAAATCCAAGCTTAGCTGACCTTTAACATTTATCACACTAAGTTAGTGATGCAGAAGTTGTCTCAAATTTCTCTTAGTGAGACAACTGCCTCTTTACTTTTGAATATTCCAATTTAAATAATACAGCAGAATCCTACAGCTACTCTTATTTCTGTTGGCAGAAGACTGAAGCACTCATTAAATAAGCAACACCAAGTCACAGAACATACATAGCCCTCATGCATTTGAGGAGAAACTTCTCATCATGTGTTAACAGAATTATGCAGCAAAAGCTATCCAAGTAACTGCAGAATTTAAAATGCCTCAGTATGGAGTATCTTAAGTTTCTTTGCAAGATCTATGAAAATAGTTTTCTAGAACACACTGTAAAGGATATAAGGATGTTGTTGCCAGAATGGCCCCTAGTGTTCCAGTAATGGGTATGGACAGTAGAATCCATACTGGTAGAAGTAGAGCCAAGGAAAAAACAAAGTGGGTTAGCCTTTAAATACAGCATAAGTTCAAGAACAAACATGAACTGGTAGACATTAATGCTGGATTATTAAGAACACCTACAGAAAGATATACTGGGTCACAGTCCTTCATTTCTGATATTTTATGGGCAGCTACACAGAGGAAAGCCACAGGAAGCAATCCAAGTTTTGACATTCAGCACAGTAGTTTCTATGTTCAACATACAGTGACTGAGGGAACCCAAAGCAGCAACGCTGCCGAAAAAGCTCTTAAATCTCTGTTCACACAGTGCTTAGAGATTTACTGCACTAGTTGGAATTACTATACATACAAAAAAGCCTCTCTAGCAAAATTGTTTGGTCTCAGTCAACAGTGAGACAAACCATTTTACCAGTCCTTTAGCATTCTGTAAGAGGCAGAGAAATAATGCCAGAGCAGTGACTAATCACGTTTAGCATCCCCAGCACTATCTTGGATCAGATCTTTTCATAAGGCTAGTATTTACTTGAGCAAAGAGACCAGTTTCTCCAATGATAAAACACTTGCTTACATAAAATAACATATGTAGTGCTTTAAACCCTGAATAAAGACCTAAATAAAGCACTAAATCTGTGACTTGCCATAATTAGAAACAACTACAGCAAAATAAGTGGCAAACTCCACAAGCTTCAGTAAGATTTTACTGAGCACTGTACTTCTCACTGAAACCAAAGTGATTTAACACCAGCACTTTCCCCTCGCTGGAAACAAAGCATTCAGTTTGGAAGGGATCTTGGGATGTCATCTAGCCTGGCCTCTAGAACAAAGGCTACACTGAATCAAGACCAGATTGCTTGGAGCTTTGTGCAGTCAGGTCTTGAAAAGATCCAAGGACAGATTTTACTACTTCTCTAGACAGCCCACTCTAGTGTTCAGTTATCCTCAAGTGACCATTTTCCTCCTATCTAGTTAGAACCTACTATTTCAATTTATGATCATTCCTTCTACCACATCTCTCAAAAAGCCTGGCTCCATCCTTTCAGTAACATCTTTGGTATTTGAATGCTAATATCATATCTCCTGCCAAGCCTTCACTTCACCAGGCCCAACAAGCCCAGTTCTTCCAGGCTCTCCTCACAGGTCTCATGTGCCAGCCCCCAGCCAGAGGCCCACCACTAGACTCACTGAAATTTATCTATAGCTTTTGTGTACCAAGTGACCAGAAATAGACACAACTGGTTAACAAATACCAAATAATCAGTTCTTCTTAATCTACTGGTCCTCAGTCTAAGTCTAGCCTTCACTGCTCCAGGGGTACAATTTTTTTACTTTGCCTGCTGCCCACAAGGACCTGCACATCCTTTCCAGGAGAGCTGCTCCCCTACCAGTCTGCACCTATGCAGGGGATGAATCCACCTCAGGCACAAGCTACCAGCAAGATGGTTAACAGTTTCAAACCTAAGTAAATTGGAGTAATCTCAGAAACAGTTGAGTTCCAATGACTCAATTTACTCAAGCACAAATTCTTAGAAGGGTACACAGTGAATAACTATATTGTGGAGGTCAGTGGTACACAAAATTGTCAACATTTACTCTGCTCTACTCACTACTCTAGACAGTTTAAGCACATTGTTCCCCCAAGCTCCAAGATAGAAACTTCCTAGTATTCTGGGTATTGGCATATAAGTGTAGGCATTAGAAAAGCAGCACAAACTTTGCAGTTACCTCCTGACTATAGGGAAGAACATTTTATACTTACATCTTGGCTAAGTCCTGAAAAAGTCTTCTGAAGCTCCTTGGCAAATTCCAAATTGTGTACTACTTCATCATATTTCTCTACTGCCTCCTACAAAGGAATAGATAAAAATGTATTTTTCATGCTTAAGACTACTGGTTGCATCTCAATACCCTTGTACTTCACTTCTCATTAAGAACTAGGCATTAGTGTGTACTTCTCTGAAATTGTAACTTTGAAGATACTATGTCTGTAACTGGTACTTTAAATTTAGTCATGAATATCATCCACCTATGACTGTCTGAGATGCAGTACAAAGCCAGCTCACACCACCACACAGATGTCCTACAAGTTTGTCTGTACTAGACTTTCCAGGCAACATCTTGTGCAACACTTGGTATACTAATGTTGAAACAGGAAAGCCTCGATACCAGTTATTCCATTTTTCCTTTTGTTCCCACAGGTCTCAGCAATCAGAGGTAAACAGCTACTTAAAATCAGATACTGATATGAAAGCCTGGAAGGAATATAGGAGACAGACAAGTTCAGCACAGATCTTTTACCCTGATGCTTAGCTGAATGCCTTTATGCATCATTTGTTCAAGCTTCAGAAAGAAAATATAGAAGGAAAGTCATACTTTCAGAAAAAAGTCTTTCAAATTTAGTTTCCACAAGTAAAGCAGTGTTCGAGTCTTCATTAATGGCTTTAACCAATATTTTACTAGCCAGTCTTCAAAAAGACTAAAGTAGATTATTAATCGCACTTTGATATACCCTATTTTTATAAGTTCTTCCCCACTAAGGAGTCAGTTTGTTGTTATAAGTCTCCCTGACAGCTCTGAAGATAGCAAAATGCTGCAGTTCAGACATGCTGCCCATATCCTCATACCATAACTTGTTACTTCCCAGGCATGCCTTAAGTTAAACTTCAGTTGTTCATATGTGCTTTACACTCAGTTTGGTTTATGCTCACAACATGATATCAGACATTTTTCTGGAATGGACCCATCAGTCTAATATAAAGCTCTTTCAAAGCAGTGTTAGTGTTAAGTGTTTCATCAGTGCAGTGACAAAAGCTAAATCTACTGTCCCAATAAGATTTGGGACATGTACAAATTCCATATGTGTTCCTAAGCAACTGGAAAACAAGTTACATGTTCATTTGTTCAATCAGTTTGATTGTTCAGTTACTTGTATTCACTTATTTGTAGTATACTAGACATTACTAGGCCTAAACACTACTCATCACAATGAAGTACATAAGTTACTGTAAAGCGCTCATCTGGTAGTTTAAGTTGTCCTCACACAATTTATCAAGCAACTTTTAAGAATTAATCAGCAAATTCACTTAGCACTTGGGAGAATGACTTCTAAGACCCTAATGCCCACACATTTGAGGAAGATTCACAATTTAACACCAACAACTTACTAGACAGATTGCAGTAATTGTGCTTTTAACCATGCAAATCCCAGAGTACAACTCCCTACCTGAACACATCAAGAACAGTTACCACTGCTCTGATGACAAGCTATAACTCAGCCTGCAGGAAAGCAATAGCTTTCTTTTGTCACAGCTGTTATTAACATGCATTAACAGCATGCTGGAGTAACAGTACTGAGGAAAGTCTACTCAGCTTGCAAAACAGCACAGTATTGCCAGTGAGAGCATTTAACTTGCTGGAAGCTTCTAATTTTCAAACAAATGTTTCCTAAAGTAAGGCTAGCACACACAGTAGATCTGGCAAGCATGCACCGTAAGTAATTACAGTTTAATCCAAATTGCTTGCAAAACTAGTTGATCACCAGATGTGCACTTCTTCCTCTGTGTAAGAAACAATGAAAAATATAGATGACATCAAGTTACATTAGAGCTCCACTGTATTATAGGCAGTTAGGTTTCTTTAGGCAAGTGTCCAAACTACTAAGCTCTGCTCTAGCTTCAATCACCAGGTCCCAGTATTTGTATATACATTGGGAATTCACAGCTGAAGGGTACAAATGCAGTATTTCTGTATCTTAACCACTGAAACAGAGGCCTTGACTAGACTGTTAAGTAAATACTGAGTTGATATGTGCTTCTACAATAGTCACCTGAACAGTTTGACTACCACTGGTCAGTTCACTAGCAGGACTGAATCCAACTCCCCATTTTAGAAGCCTGAGATATCCCAGAAACTGGGATAAAAATACTAACACTTAAAAAGTTAAGCTCAGCTGGGAATACTGAAAGCCAGTAACCAGTTAATTGCCTATATGTTTTCCAAAGTTAGTGCTGCTGGATACATTTGCAAGAAAAACATCTACAGAATCCTTCACCTCCTTACTCCCCCACATCTTAATTTCACCTAACAGTTTTTTTACAGTCCAGGGTGTATACCAAAGACAAATAGTCAAATTTATAAGTAGCTTTAAAAGTGTTCAAGACTAATCAAACTTACACAGAATACTGTTCAATAGTCTTACTGTTACTGACAGAAGAAAACAGATTGTATTTAACACCTATGATCTAAATGCAAAAGGCTCTTGCCCACCTGATTCCAGATTGAGTTTAGAGGGAAAAGGTCATCATCCTACTTCAAACCATCAGCTTTAATTCATTTACTTCTGCACTTGAGATGGCAAGAGGCTACATCAGATTTTGTAGTTAAGTGCTAAATGACCATTCACTCCAATAGGTCTACTCTAGTTTTAAGTAGCAAGTTATCATTCCCCCTCTTATCCCATTTAAGTCTAGTTCTTATTTACAAATGATTCAGAGTAAGGAAATAGTATTTGTGTTCTCATACCGCTGCACTGTGATAAAGCTAACAGTCAATGAAGTATTTTTCCAACTGGTTCATTAGCAGGATCTGTACTACCACTAAAGCGTCAGTGCCCTTTATTACACAATTGTTCTTTAGCATGTGTGTGAAGTACATTTTTAAAACGCGACTCCTAGATGACTACAGCAATAAACCCTTTGGATTATGTGACACTGCTACTCAGGCATACTTAAGAAGCAATAGCTTTCATGTTATAGAAATCTAGTTTCAGTTCTAGAATCCATTCCAGTCCAAGACAAAAAAAGCCAGCACCACTGTTTTAACATCAGGCAAGTTTAAGCTAGCTCCACAAAGGGGATCACATTTGTTGATTAGTGATCTTGCATCCTGACATTCCAAACTCTAGCAACCTTAGGTACAAAATAGACATACTGTTCTAACAGCATTTGAGAGTGCTGGCAACTGCCAGACATCTAATAGCAGCACTAGAAAGGCAGGAGAGTATTCCCAATTAAGTCAGTAACTCATAGCTAGATTCTTGTGTTAGGGAAGCCTTTAGATCCTATGCAAGTTAAACCAGTGTCTTCCTTGGTACCAACAGGGACTGTTTGTCAGTTTAACAGCTGCTTGTAGCCAACAGCACTGTGCAGCCAACAGGCAATTTCAAGTAACACCTGTTAATGAAGAAGTCATGAGGATTAATTAGCTACCCCAGATGTCTTGAGGTTTGTGTTCAAACACTACAATGCCTTGTAGATAAGATGCATACAGACAGCTCATCAAGAAATAAAGGTGCAGGCACACTGAAGCTGAAAGTCTACAGAGCAAAGATAAACAAGGACCTTCTATCACTCCAGTACACAGCAAGAAGGTTAAAGTACGAGACTTAAAGCTTGTGGGCTCACCATTCAGCTTAATTACCAATTTGTGCATTCAGTTTTGTGGAAAAAATGCTAATGCAAGCCTGCAGGCATTACTTCTGTAGAACACCATCACCACCTCCTTCAGCAGCCTATCCCTTCTGACATGTTTAAAAATTTCGAGGCCACCCACTCCTGCATAAAGCAAGCTTACCAACTGGTCTTGATTGAGGGCTTCTCCCTTCTTCAGGCGATCTTTGTAGTCTTCTAGTTTGAGCTGTAGGAAAATCCAAAGTAAATTTTTTATATTGACTTCTGTCTAATATGGAGTATGGGGTAAAAGTGAAGTTACATACTCTTTCTGTATTTTAAGCTATCTGCATCCTGCAACGGAATAGGAATTTTACTCCTTCCTTCCATTTTCAGGAGAAATGAACAGTTTTGCTATGCCTTTGATTTGGCAATCTCAGTCTCCAGGATTGCCTACTTCCCTTTCTTATCTTTGATCTTTCATTCCTTACTTGCTACCTTTGTTTCATTTAATAAATACTAACGCATTGCCCCTAGATCTTTAAGGGGCTCCAAACACATCCAGTGTCCTCATTTTAAATTAGGCTTTTTTAGCTTTTCCAAGTCAATGCTGGCATTTAGTTATCTTATCCTTGAATAATCCTACTTCATTTTCCAGAGCCTGTCTTTCAAAATCTGGCTTCAGTTATGTCACCAAGACTTCATAGCACTATGCTAGACCACTAGCAAGAAAGTGGACTAATGTCTTTAGGAAAGAAAGAAGATTATTTCTAATATACTGAAACAGTCTTTAAAAGCTGATGTAAACTATACAAAACTAAACTATTAGTTATTACAAGCTTCTTTATACACACAGGGAAAAGAAAGGGGAGTTCACTGCCATGAAGTTGAATGCTATTTCATTCACTCACATAGGGTTTACTGACACAGTACCTATAGGAGCCTAGGACTAGGAATACCTTCTACTCATTCTAGTAAGTCATACTTTCATCTGCTGGTGAGACCATATTGTCACTCATGTGAAAGAATAAAGATATTCGAGAAATTCACAATAAGATTCCTTGGACAGAATTAGAATACAACACAAAGTTGGTTAATCACACAAGGAAGACATGCTTATCTAACATTCTTCAAAATTACAGCATGATGCATGACATGAGACAGCAGTAATACTGCATCTCCTGCAGGTGGATCAAGTCCCCTAGCCACATGGCCAGAAGTCTGATCTACTCCCTTCTTCTCACACTACGAAATAACACAAAGCTTTTCAGACATACAGAGAAGCACAATGTATTCATATATTTGCTTTACTTGTAATCCTGACCCAGTACCAAAAGCAACAGTACCATTATTTATCTTACAGAAAATAGCATTTTCCCCAGTTAAAAATCATGCACATAGCACAGTCACCTGCCAATCAAGTGAAGAGTCTTAGAATGCAAAAGCCTGTCCATATATAACAACAATATTTTAGGTGTATCATTATCTCAGTTCTTATTCTTATTAAGACTGTTCTGTCTGTCCATCCCCCGCCCCAGAAAAGCACAGTTCAAAGCAAGACAGCAGGCTTTGGATGCTTTCTGTTTAAAGGCTTTCTAGTGAATAACATTTGTCTATGTTTAAAATATAGAAGTCAAAGATTTATGCAAAGTGAAGAGCAATACATATTTAACACGATTTGACATTTCTTCACTGTCAGGGAGGGAGTCAGAGGAAACACTGTTCCTAATTTCCAGTTTCATATACATCTCTACATCCTAATATTAGATACATGTAATCAATAGAAGAAATATGAAGACTTCTGCAAGACCAAACCATCTCCAAATCAGTTCCAAGTTAGTTCTGAACTGACTCAGTCTATTAGAGAAGCACCCCCAGTTTTGACCAACATTCAGTTACTTTTGCTAACTATTGGACATGCACTGTCAAGCCAGCAGCTGAGAACAGGTTTACAGTTAGCTACATTCCCGATTCCCCAAAACAATGATGTTATGCTCACACAATGCCAAAAGCAAGTAGTCCATTTCAGAAAAGCAGGAATAAAGAACACCATTCTTTACTATACAGGGTTTATAAATGATACTAAAAAACTAACAAATCCACATTTACATCCTTTCATGGGTTATTTAAAAAAAAATTCTATGATTAATCTCTATATACACACACAACCTTATTCCAGCTATTATAAAATAGGCACCAAGTTTCACAGTTAGCAATTTAAGTATGCGCCATGCCAAAGAAAAACAAGTTACCTTCTTTTTCTCAATGTTCCTGATCTTATGTTTGAGGCAGATAAGCCCATTATCAATGTAAGTCTCATACGCCTGGGAAGGAGAGGCTGCCGAGTTCAGCGCAGACTGCAGGGGGCTGGAGGGAGGCTGGCTCTCCCCAGACGGGTTCACCTGCTGCTTGGCCGCCTTCATGCTCTTATCCTCCCCCTCCTCTGACCGGCCTGACGGTGATGATGGGCGACGGAGAGGGGCTTGGGAAAGCTGCACCATTGAAATGGATGGAGCTGCAAAGAAAATCCCTTTATTTAGCTCTCTTCCCTGCCCCGCCCCCCCCCCTCGTTTTTTGAAGTTACATCTTTTCTTATCACACATTCAGAAGGCGTAGCCACAAAAATTGAGCCTCAGTAAGAATTCATCACAATCTTTCACTCTTCTCCCTCCCCCTTTCAAAATATCTGTAGCAGGAATTTCAAAGCAAGGCAAACTTTGTATTGTTCAAGTCTCCCCATCCATCCAGACACCAGAAATCCTTTACATAGGCAGAATCAGACAGCACAGGGGATGATTCCAGAAACCCAATATAGTGTCCATATAAAACTAGGCGGGTTTCCTGCATGCATCACCCACAAGGGAAAAAAACTGCAAGCAAGCAATTGCAAATCACGCTGCCAGCCTTGCATCCAGGCTGCAGCCTGCAGAAGTGGCATGCTTGAAGATATAGCCCCTCTTCTTCTCACCCCCATTAAATCAGTTTTACCCCTTCATGACCTTTGCAGCAATCCAACCGAGAATTTAAACTAAAAAGATTTCAATTGAAAAAGCGAAGACAAAAGAAATCACTTAAAATTGCTTAATAAAGCACACAGCACACTCGGTTACAACAGCATCATGCTTTGTGAGGAGCTGGCCTCTGCCTACACCCATCCAAAAAGATGTGCCTGTGCCATGGCAAGGCACCAGCTTTGATGGGAGGGGCTGGGCTTTAACCT